GTCACCACCCCCCTCACCACCACCGACCGCAGCCCCATCTAGGAAGCTTTCCCGAGAGTTGTAGCAGTGACTCCGAGTCCAGCTCCTACTCCGACCATGCAGCCAACGACTCCGATTTTGGCTCCAGTTTGTCCAGCTCCAGCAACTCCATGTCCTCAGAGGAAGAGGAGGAGGAAGGAGAGGAGGAGGAGGAAGAGGAGGAGGAAGAGGGGGGCAGTGGGGCCTCGGATTCCAGTGAAATCAGCTCGGAGGAGGAGGACTCATCCACCGAGTCAGACTCCAGCTCCGGCTCCAGCCAAGTGTCAGTGCAGAGCATCCGTTTCAGGCGCACCAGCTTCTGCAAGCCTCCCAGCGTGCAGGCGCAGGCCAACTTCTTGTACCATCTGGCCTCCGCCGCCGCTGCAACCAAACCCGCTGCTTTCGAGGATGCCGGCCGACTTCCCGACCTCAAGAGTAGTGTCAAAGCCGAGTCGCCAGAGGAGTGGAATCTGCAGGGCTGGGCTCCCAGAGGGGCTCCGGTGTACTGCCCGGCCAGCTTGGGGAGTTGTTTCCAAGAGATAAGAAACGATAGGGTATCTGAGATTACATTCCCACACTCTGAAATTTCCAGTACTGTAAAGAGAACTGACCTGACAATTAACTGCCTGGCAGAGGGGGCCTCTTCACCTAGCCCAAAGACAAACAATATATTTCCACAACAAAGAATACTCCGAGAGGCTAGGAAATGCCTACAAGCAACTCCTACTACACACTGTTCAGATAACAACACAATAGCTGCTAGGTTTTTAAATAATGATTCTTGTGGAACAGCAACAAATTCAGGAAAAGATTCCAAAATCCTTCATTGTCTTGAATTTGCTACGGATTTGGCCTCTTCGCAAATTGATTCCGAAGTGGATGCAGCAGCAGCAGCAGCAGCAGGAACTAAAGCTGAGAATCTCTGCACTGACACAGGCGACAAGACATTGCCATTTCTGCACAATATTAAAATCAAAGTAGAAGACAGTAGTGCTAATGAAGACTATGAACCTGATCTTATTACAAATAAGCTAAAGTGCGAGTGCAATGATACAAAGGGTGAGTTTTACAGTGTGACTGAGAAGAAAGAGGAGGACGCCTTTCTAACCACAGCCAAGGAAGGTTTTGCATGCCCTGAGAAAGAAATTCCTTCCTTAAATCCACTGGCTCAGAGTCAGGGCCTTTCATGCACTTTAGGATCTCCAAAACCTGAGGATGGGGAATATAAATTTGGTGCCAGGGTGAGAAAAAATTACCGGACACTAGTACTGGGTAAACGACCAGTCCTTCAGACACCTCCAGTCAAACCAAATTTGAAATCAGCTAGAAGCCCTCGTCCTACAGGTAAAACTGAGACACATGAAGGAACACTGGATGACTTTACAGTTTTAAACAGGCGCAAAAAGGTAGCCAGCAATGTAGCATCAGCAGTGAAAAGGCCATTTAATTTCATGGCAAATTTTCCTTGTCCACCATCACTCATTATTGGGAAGGACGGGGATTTGTGGCCAGCGTATTCCTTAAACACCACTAAGGATTCCCAACCTCCTCACAAGGCCCATCCTATATGGAAATGGCAGCTGGGCGGTTCTGCAATACCTCTTCCACCTAGTCACAAATTCAGGAAATTTAATTCATAAAAATGTTTTGGAAGATATTTTCTTGAACCATATTACCTTCCTTTTGTTGTAAACTGCACAGGATGGCTTGTACAAGTCCATTAATGGTGTTACACCCCCTTTGGAGTCCTGGTTTATCGCATTTTGAAGACAGAAATCGGATTTTTTTTTTTCCCTTTGGGGGTTTTTTTTTTTTTTTTTTTTTTTTTTTGCAGGGTGGGGGCGGGGTGGGAGAAGGGTTGGTTTACATACCACAGACTACTTCAGGCTAAAGACTCAAGTAAAACTCAGTTATTATGGTAGAGCTGGAACACTTTACTGTTTCAATGCTAATAATGCACCGGTACCTCAATTCAACTGCTACAAATAAATGTCAAAAGGTTGAATAATAAATATTACAATGAGCCATTAAGTTTATGCACTAGATTTCAGACCTGAAAGTGTAACTGGTATTCAGTGAAAGTTTGTTAGGCTACATGGTTACACAATAAGGTAGCAAGAAGTTTCTGTGAGCCCAAAATGTAATTTTCTGGAGCTCTTATTTGTGGGGTGTCTTTTTTTTTTTTTTAATTACCTTCATCCCTTTTCCAAGAGTAGTTGCACTTAACTTTGTTTTTTGGTTTGTTTTTTTTTAAAATGGAAAGATTGGGGTATGAGTCCTGATTGGATGCTAATTTAAAAGCTGCCTCTTGTGTAAGATGTAACAGAAATATGGAATTTTTTTTTCTTTTTAAGGGTGTGCTTTTTTTTTTTTTTTTTTTTTTTTTTTTTTTTTTTTTTTAATCTTTACAGTCATTCCTTGCAATTGGAAAAGTCCTTTCTGTGCTCTCACCCAAACCTTTAAAATAGGATGACTCTTACTGTGGTCATGCTTATCTTGTGGTCTGAAGATGACTCTTCAAGCTTTCAAAACCATTAAAACATTTCTCTTAATAGCAGGATATTTAATGGTCTAACTCATCATAGTGACCAATCATTAAATACAACCAAGAAAAAGAAAAAGAGGGGTCAGAGTCGTAACACCCCAAGTGAAAAATAAACAGTTATTTCAGGGCTTTTTGGTACCAGAACTCAGGCACTTGGATTTTATTACCTTATGTTTTTTTTTTTTTTTTTTTTTTTTTTTTTTTTTTTTTTTCCCTGCATCACTCTAAACTTCTGTTTTCAGGCCATCCTGTGTATAGAACAGGAGTTTCTACTGCAAGTGACAATCAGAGGTGACTATCTATATTTGCACTTAAAATCAAAGGAGTTTCACATGCAAATGGTCTACCCCTTGGTAAGGGCCATGCTGGTGTACTGTGTTGTAATGATGAGAGCAGTAAATCAAAATTATGGAAATTTGCACTGTTGAAAAGCATGCTTTAGCTTTATTTTCAATTAAAAACACTGTTTAAAATTTCTGGTTCCACACATTTCTACTTATTCCAGATTGAAGAAGGGTTAACAAGAATGAATGGTTTTGTTGACATTTTCACTTGTAATGTTTTTGCCTGGAAGAAATGCACTCATTGGGTGCAGTGTTTTGTGGTAATACTGTGTGATGAGACCAATAGGGTTCTGTACATAACACTGGCAGATTTTTTTCCCAAATAACAGAAAAACTTTTCAAACTTGTTACAGATCAACTATTACAAGTTTCATATTTAAGAAAGTAAAGCAAAGATTAATTGCTATTTTAATGAAAGTTGAATCCAGTAATTATTGGGCCACCAAATTATGTATCTCAGATCCTTTTTATCTTTAGTCTAAAAAGTTGCATCTATAGGCCATAAATCACAGAGCAAAACAAAACACCAATGAAATGTTTACTGTGTGGATTTAAATAATTATTTCTCGTGGAAATTCAGCTATTTATTTTCCTTAACCTTTTAATTCTTACTCCTTTTGAAAATTTCCTTTTGTCTATAAATGTTTCAGATAGTTCTGGATGGTCTCAGGCCTAATTGCTATGTATGATGTGTGGTTTTCCCCCTGTTGTGAAGGACACAGGCTGAGAGTACCTGCATCCAGATACATTTGGATGAAGTAAACAGATGCTTTGGACTGCTTCCCTGACTTTCCTTCTTGAATGTTGCCAGATGTAGGCTTACTGGGTCATTTTTTTTTTTCTCTTGGAATCATAGATATGGTCAAAGCAAAAATTGGGAGATATTATCCTTGAATTCATGTTTGTATATAATTCCAAAGACTAGTCCATATTCTCAGTTAAGAGTCTCAGAAAGCTGAACCAACTGATTTCTAAGCCTGAGTCCTTTCCCCCTTGGAAGGCAATGGAGAACTTAGGGACAGTGAGTTGTCCTAAAAAAAAGAAGGGAAAAAAAATCAGTCTGTAAAAAGTATGACACCCACACAAGGGAAGTCTGTAATTTCTACTCTTTAATTAGTGCCAAGACAAGAAAGTTCAAGAACAGTAACTACTGCATTTAGACTAGGACTTTCTATGTTGGCTACAGACTGTTAACCAAATTATAAACTGAGAATATATTTGAGGTCTACAGATCTTGAGTGCGGCAACACTGTTAAGATGGAATAAACACAAATTAAAACAAATATCCCATAGGATTTTGGACTGAGTATCAGCCTCCAGCTTGGACACTTGGTCTCCACTCCTCAGAGAATCAATAGTTTCAGCCTATAGGAGCTGGAGAATGAGCAGCATGGAGGCCGAGGCATGGCAGAGTGATACCATCAAAAGGAAAGACATTATAGTCAACACAAAAATTACCCCACAATGTGCCTGTAGGCCATCCAACCACAGCAAGCTCTGAGCTGGGGCTTCTGTCAGTAAAGTGTACCAAATAGTAAGTCTTAGTGTGCAAATATAAGGTATTCTTTCAATTCCTAGTAGCCCTCAGCTGGTTTCCCATCCTGCTGTGGGAATTACTCCCAGCACAGTTTATTTTATTTGGGTCGTTTTATGATTAAAGACAATTTCTAGGTCTTTCTCAGCTGCTATAAATGTCACATTTGTTCAAAAGTTAAGCCTTACTGAGAGAAAAACAAAAGTTAGGTCCATTGACAGGTTGCATTTTTACATTTGAATGTTTTCAGGGAATAGATTTGTTCTTTAAGTGCTATAAGGTTCTAGGGTCACTGATTCCTGTGTCTAGATTAGCTCCATAGACATGGGAAAAGTGTAAAAAAAAAGCTCTTTCGCTGACTTTTTGGTGAAGCAAACTTATTTCTGGTCTTCTATAAACATAATTTCCTGATAAGACTGAAGATTTAATTATTTTATAGAGAGATGTATGTACTTATCCCCAGTCAGGTTATCTGCCTTTATAGAAAATGCAGCTTGACTTTCCCCCCCCCCCCCAAGCATTTACGTTTTAGAATGAGTGTTCCTTTCTAATGCCTTACTTGATTACAGTGGAGTAATAGCAATAATGGTTGTTTATTTGAAAACCAACAACAAGGAGCTACCACTAAACAGCAATAACACAAACTAGATGGGCTGGTGTGTGGGTTTTTTTTTTTTTTTTTAATCTTATTTGTGTCTGCGTGACTTTCAGTGGTCCAGAGATTCCTCAGAGTTCTTAGCCAATAATAATTGGGCTGGAAATTTCTACTGATACGAGAACGGTAGTTTATTTGAATGCAGGAGAAAATGTAGGTGAAACTAATTCCTTAAAACCATTTTTTTCTTTTAAAGAAAACAAAAATACTCCACGGTGAAAATTTCCTAAAAAAAAAAATAATAAAACATCAGCATCTATAAATGAAAGCAAATGTGAGTTTTGCTTCACCTTGAAAAAAACATCTTCCTGCTGAAAAGGATATGTGGAGGGAGGGATTTCCCAGGGTCAAAATGGGAACAACAACAACAAAACGCAAGGCTCCAGTCAGCTAAACTCAGGAAATTGGCCCGGAGAAGCAGGGCATCTACCTTTGCGAGTCCTCCCTGTCACCCCAGTCATCCCTGGGATACTCCTTTCCCCATGAAGAACAACTACTTTCCCTCTGGCTTTGGTTATGGTTTGCTCCCTAGGCCAAAGGGCATTCTGCAAACTAGTTTGGGGGCTGGGTACGTAGGGCAGATCTAGGAGGTGGGGGAGGGTCGCATTTTACCTGTTTGGCAAGCCCTCTTTTGCTTTAAAATATGGGGAAGAGGTAGGGGGGAGGCAGCTATCAGTCTTTGCCCATGCCCTAGGCCCCAGCTACTCTCGCTCCTTTTCAAACTGTGGCGGCCTCACAAGCTCCTACTTTAAAAGGCCTGAGATGTTTTGCATGAAGCCCTCACAATAGGGGTTGAGGGAATTGACAGTTTCAAAAACAAGGCGTTCAGTCCTTTCCAGCTGCCGGGTCCGCTCTCTCGCACCAACTCCTGGTTCCTCTCTGCTGGTGGCGTCCTCGGCAGCGCGCGGCCTCCCCCCAGCCCTCTAGCCCGCGCTCTGGCTGGCCCCACCCCGCCCCCAGGCTGTGTTTGTAAACAGGGGTCAGTGGCCAGGGACTGCTGGCGCGGGCTTCAGGCCTAGCGGCATGAGAGGAAAGGCCAGGGACTATGGAGCCGGCCAAGTACTGCAGGCCAAGGGCTGCGGGGATTCCAAGGGTTGCTTTCCCCAGCCACAGAGCTCTGGGGACTGCACTGACCCAGGGCAGCCCTGGGTTCTCTGACTAGGGCCACCATCACTACCAGAAAGATGTTTAAGTGCCGCCATTTTGCATGGTGGCAAACAAATTTCTTTGTGACTTTTTCTTTTCCCGCTCAGATCTTGCTCTTCTCTGAACGTGTGACGATTTCGCTGCTCTAGGCAGAAAAGCCTGCACCCCAGCTCGTCCTGCGTAGCCTGCAGTCCAAGCGGCCATAAGAGCAGAGGGCAGCTAGGCGCCTCGCCGCCTTGGGCCTCCTCCCCATCAGAAACTGGAATGCTTCCCCTCACTTTGCACTTCTTTTGTGTGCCCATTCCTGCACTTGCCGCCCAGTATTTCTCCCCTTCTTGCCCATGCCTCATCCCTGTTGCCCAGGCAAAAGGAACCCAGCTCTTTTCATTGCTAAGCGGACTCCAAGGCCTCCAGAATGCGCTTGTGGGAGGCGAGTGGCAAAGGGACTGGGCCAGCATGGCTGCGATCTCCAGGGAAGGAGCTCAAGAGCAGAGGCCTGGCGAGTGGGGAGGGAGCGGGCGGGTTAGCCAGGCCCGGCCTAACTCCTTGAG